AACCCGGGCCTGTTGTGGGTGTAAAGGCAACAGAGAGACGAGGTGAGGTTTTGCACAAGGAGTTTTACTTTCACTCTCAGAACGCTGGGGCCATAGATGGTTGTGAAAACAGAGGGATATTTTCTGAGGCCGGATTCTAACTTTTCCTAACATTGCTCAGAGGAAGGACAGCCTGGAGGACAGAGGACAGCAGCTGTGGACAGGGAGGGGAAGTCCTGTAAATGATAAGGGAACTGGCAGAGTGAGCCCTGAGGACTGAGCCCTGAGATAACACAGGCATCTGGAGGGCACCTGGCCTCTGGGCTGGGCAAGGGCACTGAGCAGCCTGAGCCCATAGAGCCTGGTGGGTGCCAGGCTGTCAACAGACCATTTTCTTCCCACAAATTCCTGCAAATGCAGAATCGATTAGGTGCACGGGTTTGTGGAGCTTCTTTCAGGGCCTCACCCCCTTGTGGCCGCTGAGAGAGTAGAGTCCTGGGACTGTCAGCTGCTCTTGTAGCCCTTGGACTTGGGGACTTGGAACAGACACTCAGCCCAGACTCCAAAGGCCAGGACTAGGGCTTCATGACGTGGACCTTGTTTTTGGCAACCAGTGTAATGAGTGCGAGGTCCTCCAGACATAGGGTCCAGAATATGCAAAGGCTTGGAGTGAGGAGTGAGCTGAATCAGGAACCTGCAGTCATATTTTTTAAAATACAGCTATATTTTTATTGATAGTAGATGTAGAAAGGAAGGGAGAGGGAGAGAGAGAAACAGGGATGAGCAAGAAGCAAGGATTGGTTGCCACCTGCACAATCCTACTGTGGATCCAGCCCACAACCGAGGCATGTGACCTCACCAGTGCATGGGTCTGTGCTCAACCAGCTGAGACACATCAGCCAGGACTGTGGATCACTTTAATACAGGAAATCATGGTCAATTGGTCATGGTAGTAATAGCTCAGAAGTGAGACAGCGTGAACCTGAGGACTGGCTTTCTTTTACTTTTTAAAAAAATTTCTTTATTGATGAAGTTATTACATATGTGTCCTTATCCCCTCATTTACCCCCCACCCTCCCACTCATGCCTTCACCACCCTATTGTCTGTGTCCATTGGTTAGGCTTATATGCATGCATACAAGTCCTTTGGTTGATCTCTCCCCCTTAACCCCACCCTCCCCTACTTTCCCCCTGAGGTTTGATGGTCTGATCGATGCTTCTCTGTCTCTGGATCTGTTTTTTGCTCATCAGTTTATGTTATTCATTATATTCCACAAATGAGTGAGACCATGTGATATTTATCTTTCTCTGACTGGCTTATTTCGCTTAGCATAATGCTCTCCAGTTCCATCCATGCGGATCTGTTTTTCATCAGTTTATGTTGGTCATTATATTACATGAATGAGTGAGATCATGTGATATTTATCTTTCTCTGACTGGCTTATTTTTTCTAGCATAATGCTCTCCAGTTCCATCCATGCTGTTGCAAATGGTAAGAATTCCTTCTTTTTTAC